CTCTCTCTCTCTCTCTCTCTCTCTCTCTCTCTCACACACACACACACACACACACACACACACACACACACACACACATCACCACCATCACCAAAAAATATTTAAAATATGTAGCATCATAGTTCTCAGAGTGTGAATCAGTACTCTTTAAGAGGAAGTTGCCAGTCACCCGGGAGATGCGTAGACTTCGGAAACATCCCCTTCTCTTTTCCATATCTTCCTATATTAGTTAAACTATATAATCATATTCATTCACTCACTCCTTTACTCAGTGTGTGGACAGAATGCTGGAGTATCTCTTGTCTTATCTTGCATGCTGCTTCTTTTGACACTGACTGTAAAGATACCACATGAAATTAATAGATAAACCATTCCAAAACCATCTTAGGCTAATATGTATTTGGATGGCACGCAAAGAACGTCACAGATATGAATTTTAACTCCACACATTTTTATTTCATACATGAGGTAATCTATAGTCCAAGCTCTCCAGATGACATAGACAATAAAAGCAACACAATAAAGTGAGCTCTTAGCATAGCCTACCTCGCATGGTTGTTGGGAAGATAAAATGGAGCTAGGGAAGCTCTCTTGGGTTCCCTGCAGAAGGAAGAATGGTGGGATAGAAATGCAATGTCATAATAACTTGGTTAAAAACAATTAAAAGCAGCAGTAATCGCACCATTTCAAGAGCAAAGGTTAAATATAACTTTTAATATTCAGCTTTCACATATTTTAATATTGCCCAGAAAAGGGCAATTTTAAAACAGTATTTTAGAACATGAAACGAGGTGAAAGGCCTTTGAAAACAAAACGGTCTTTGTGTACTGCCACAAAGTCAGTGAAGGCAACACAAGGTGGACGTCCCTTCTGGGGCCATTTCACAATTTGGGGGTCACTAGAAAAGAGGACTCTTTGCAAGCAGCAGGGCCCATCATCCACATAGCTACTCTGATTTTTTTCCTTAAAAATGGGAAATCCATTTGCCTCTGGAGTCACGTGGTTGGTCCTCTGCAGTGTCTTCCTTGGATCCAAGGTGAAAATATGCGGCATGGAGATAACTATGAGAACCTCCAGCCCAGGTTGCTTTTGCAGGGAGAATATTCCAGCAGCTCCTCTGAGCATCAGACTCTTCCCAGCGATTTGGCTGTCCTGCTGCTGAAGAAAACGGGCATATTCGCCTTTGAATTATAAATGAGCCTGTTTTCTTTGGTGCCAGAACAAACTTGATGCATCTGAAGCGGTGTCAACTTCAAAGCAAACCCTGATTTATAAAAGAGGAAATAATGGATCCTGAACTAGATTGCCAGTTGTCTGAGGACGTTTGTTTTCATACTTTTAATAAGTAAGCGTATTCTTTGAAAAGAACAGTGCAAACCTTGTCAATTTTCAGAGTTCTGAAGAATTAGAGAACGCCTTTGAGTGTCAAGTAGCCAATTTTAATGTTATTAGTAGCTTCTGTCTTTAACTGTTCATACAAATAACAGCACGTCTTACTGCCAGATTCTGGATAGAGGCAAAGAGAGACTCCGTTTTTCTTTGGCATTCCTGGCCTTTTGTTTTTGCACCAAGTCCAAACTCTCGCTGTGTGCGATGGCCAGCAGAAATGCTGACGAGGATGTTGTGGCGATGTCACCCGTAATGTGATGCTCTCACAAGTTACAACTCGCCTATCTGAGTGAATCTTCACGGACCAAATACTGCAGCTGTAATTTTCCTATTGTCTCCAATCAATGCAAACACTGTCTGCTTTTCAGTGGAGTCAGTTCGCGCAATCACCTGCTAGGTAGCAATGATTAAAGCTCTGTGAGTGCTCTACCGTTCTTAGATTTTATAGCGGAGGGATACCATCAACAAACTAAGAAACACAATACCCATAAGATGCTCCTGGTCGATTGAAAATATGCTCTCCACATGAACTTTTTGCTTAGTGTTTTTTAACTAAGCAAACCTTTTAAACCTTTTTATTTAATCACTGTTTTAAAAAAATAATATTTTAATTGTGTCGAACAGTCACTTTGATTTTGTCCTTTATGTTATTTTTTATTGAATTATGTTATTTATACATATGATTTTATTGTATTTCAATTTTATGGATTGTGAGCCGTCCCGAGATGCCAAGGCATAAGGGACGGCATACAAAAGTTTTAAATAATAATAATAATAATAATAATAGTGTGGGGAGTTGCAAAAAGGAAGACCGATGCAAAAGCACAACCACATGACCAGTAAAAGTTAGGGGATTTAACCCCAACCCTTAATAATTGTGCATACATGCAGTTTTTTGGTCATCTGTTATATTTATCCCCATGTTTTAGATAAGCTAATCTGCTAAAGAAGCTCATAATTAAAATCCACACAAAACTACAATGGGCTGGAGCCAGTTGAACTTGGCTTCCATTTATAGCAACGACTAACTTGTACCGTGGATCCCACTGGGATGTATCGTTTTTATTTCAACGATACTTTAATAATTTTTAATATCAGTTTGTAGGCTTTAATCTGTAGCCAGCGTGGATCTGGATTTTATCTGTATTATGTTTTATTTTATTTATGTAAGCTGTCCCGAGGCTATGCGATGGGACGGCATACAAATGCCCTGAATGAATGAATGAATGAATGAATGAATGAATGTAAGTTGGACTCATTTAGTCAGGGCCCAGCCCAATATAAGCTGGAGATTTAAGGCAGTCTCTTCTAGTCATTGGCAATATAGTGGAGGCTATTATTTCCAGATAATCGTTGGGTTTCTCTCTCAAGGACATGGAACGGGAGGCCCAGTCCTTTCCTACCAGCAGCCTCTGAGAAAAGCAAGAAATCCATGTCTGTACCTTCCATCTTTTATACCACGTGTGCATTTTTTTCTATATTCTGTGTACCCAAGTTCAACATTTTGCTCTCCTGCGTTTGCTTCCCAGAGACTATGTAAGAATCTAGTTCAGTAGATTTTTCCTGTTCTAGATAAGCGTGGTTTATTTCCATCGTGTGTTTTAAATTATTTGAACTGAGCTGTAAAGGGTGACGTGCTTTTATGTAGGTTTGCATGTCTTAGAGCACCAAAGCCATTTAGCCTGATTTGTCACCGCAAGGAGCAGGGTGGAAAGCTCTTCCGTTCTGAATTATATGCCATTATGGTTTGGTTTTCTAGTGTAGACAATTCTGAAGACCCCGTGTATGAGAGCCTGGAAGAATTCCACGTTTTTGTCCTAGCACATATATTAAGGAGACCAATTGTTGTGGTTGCTGATACAATGCTCCGAGATTCTGGAGGAGAAGGTGAGTTCGTTTGTTCATAATTTGCACTTCTCATTAGCCAGTTTGCATCGTTCCAGTGTAAACAGTGTTGAACAGGAATGTGATATACAATGTTTTGGAAATTAAATGCTCAACCAGAATGGCAACAGGGCACTTCAATTGCCTCATAGAATTGAGTGAAATTTCATCTTCATCTGATATTAAGATGGCGATGCTGATGTTTCTTTGGTCTGGAGCTTTGCAGGGACACGCAGCCTCAAACACCCCTGTGCCTTCCTGCCATTTCCATCACTTCAAGCAAGGTCAGGGTGAGGGCCAGGCGGTTCCTTGTAGCTATAAGTGGGTAGAGAACAAGGGCCCCATATCTGATCTTCTCAAGAAATCTAATCGTTTGCTCATCCACTGCCTGATGAGGCCATTTCTCCTTCTCTTTTGGCTTCAAGAAAGAGGCTATCCAAGAACCAGATCACTTACGGAGTGCAGAAATGTCCTCACAAATTGTATTTGTGGTACTCTTTGCACCAAGGAGAGAGCCAATATTCTTCTGACATACAATTAGCACATCATCCCAAATGGATTGCAACGGGGCTAGTTAATTAATTTCAACCATTGCCAGTGTTCTCTTTGCGAGCAAGATGCCCAAGCAGGTGGATGAAGTCGATTAACTAGGCCCATTTCAACCCGCTTGTGATGACCTACCATTAATAGGTTGATGAGATCTCATCTCGCCATCTAAACTCGATAAAACTGTAGAGGTAACCTCAGGAGCACAGAATGCTTTTTTCCAGCCTCAGCTGCTTTGCTGGAAACTGTCCTTTATTATTGATGTTCATGTTGTGATATAATAAAATGCACAGCACCCTGCATTAAAAGGATTTAAAAAACAGGCAAGCAAATAAATAAATAGCCATACTCATGATCAGACAATGCAAATAAAAAGTCAGCCACTTGGCAAGGTTATCTTGTCTGGTCCCTGACGCATGAGTGTGTGTGGCCAGTGAGTTGCCATTTGACTCGGTAGGACAAGTCCTGCAGGTAGCAGATTCCAGATGTTTTGGCATTTTGGAATTGTGTCCTTCTGTGTTTGCTGATTATCATCTCTGAGAACCTTCTGGCAGGCAAGAATGTCACTCATGTGCGACAAATAAAATGTAACGCCCAGCTTTGAAATAAATGTAATTCTCTTAATTTGCTCCTGCAAATTGTACGCCTTGTTTGCAGAATCTTGGTTTCTCTTTCACAGCATTTGCGCCAATCCCGTTCGGCGGAATTTACTTGCCTTTGGAAGTCCTGCCTAACCGCTGCCATTGTTCGCCCCTGGTCCTTGCCTATGATCAAGCACATTTTTCTGCTCTCGTGTCTATGGAACAAAAAGATCAACAGAGGGAACAAGGTAAGTCGAGGATGGAATCAAATGGCTCAGTAGTCAAGAGGCATTCAGCGATGTGATCCATGAGGAAGTCTACTTTATGCATGGACTTCCATCCGTGGCTGAGCTAAGCTGAGCTGATACCACTCGGTACCTGACCTGTAATCCTGATATGTAGGAATCCCGGAGAACTGTGGCAATATGTAGGCCTTTGTAGGAATCTCGGAGAGCTGTGGCAATATGTAGGCCTTTGTAGGAATCTCGGAGAGCTGTGGCAGTATGAAGCCAGCCAGGGATCCTGCAAAATATTGCCTGGGCGGAAACAAATTTCTGGTTGTGTCTTTTCCATGCTGGCGCTTTTATGTATCAGAAGATGCTGAAATCTCCCACTGAGGTGTTTTCTACCTTCTGCCGGTTTTGTCTTTGAAGGTGCTTTCCCATGCAAAGCACAAGCGTGCGCCTTAATTTCCAGACCCTGCTGTATAAAGTCAGCAACTGCCATGCCGAATATCTATTTATTGAACTTCTGTCCCACCCAACAGGCACAGCTCTCTGGGCGGTTCATCGGTTTTAATCATGGGCTCCTAGCCGATTCATTTCCAGAAGCCTTTATTCATGAATTTGTCAGTTCAAAGGCACAAGTGCTTCTTTCTGTCAAAGGATGGTTTCTCGTAAACGGGGGCATGTGCCATGGCTCTCCTCCCAGTGTTGCTCAAAGCATCCTTTGATTTCAGCAGCACACGCAAATTCTCTGAACAAAGGAGAGGTTGTTATTGTGAGTTGTCTGTTCAGTAGACATTTCCAAATCCATTTGGAAAGATTAGATTATATTTCCTGGCAGTTGTGGGAATTGCAAGGCAAGAACAAAGAGTGAGGGCAAATGAACTGTACCTTTTTGTTGACGTGTGTCCATTTGCAACCTCGGGGTGTCTGGCTCTTTCTCGGAGTAAGAGCAAAGGTGCATCTCGCATGGGTAAAAGAGCCTTTCCATGTTTGAATGCAGCCCTCAAGTCGGTCTTTCCAGCTGTAATCTTCCTTCAAATGCTATAGATTAAGCTTTCAAAGTTTCGCCGCTGCTTTGCTTGAAGATGGGTAGTGCCTTCCAGAATTTATCTTCTGCCTGACATAATTTAGTTCAGTGGTGTTGATCTGTGTGGTTTTGAAGCCACTCTGACATTTGGTTAATTCTCAAGGATGAGAACTCCTCTAGCCGGCTGCATCTCACTGATTAGTGTAATTACCTTCGTGCAGGCGCCACTGAATATGCCTAAGATTAAAAAGGGAGGCTGCTTTTGAGCTTCCAGTGCCTCCTGGTTCTTGCGTGAGTACACACACACACACACACACACACACACACACACACACACAAACGGGTCTGCAACTTGCTGCTGCCCTCTCATCGGTCGCTAGATTGAGCAATATGCAACATTCGGAGTTCTGTGGTGGAAGATTTATTGATTAATAAATACTGATTTCTGAAACTTCCAGGAGAGTTGTTATAGGCTTTTATGGGAAATACAGTACACTTCACAGAGTCCTGCCAGATTGGAACATAGCTTGGCTTTTGTCCTAAAGGGTGAGGGATGGAAGTTATATATGCAAAGAACAAAATGGAAAATGCAGCGCACTCTCTTGTGCACCCAGCCAAGAACGATCCAGGGCATCCCTCATAATCGTAAGGTTTCCAGGCAGGTGCAATGTGCACGGTAGGTTTTTGGTATGCTCTGCTGTCGTTTTCTTACCGGGTGCTTCAGAGCACCTTCTAGTGCATCGTGTACCATGTGAACATTAGAGGTGCAATGGCAGATTTATTTTACTTTATTTTTTACTTTATTTATCTATTTTTATTTATTTATTTATTTTATATTACTTATTTGTTTATTTATTATTTAATTTAATTTAATTATTTAATTATATTTATTATTTTATATTACTTGTTTTATTATTTAATTTAATTTAATTTAATTATTTTATTTATTTATTATTCTATTGTATTTATTATTGTATTTATTTATTTATTATTGTATTTTATTTTATCATTTCATTTTATTTTATATTGAAAGCTTTCCTAACCCGTCCCCTACAAATGTCTCTGGACGGCTTACAATAAATGAGCAGAATAAAACAAACACCCCAGCATCCGGCAGTTAACATGCTAAAACCCCAGTTAGTGCGAGTCCTGGTGCATGAGGGGTTAACCAGATGCCCATGGGGAGTGCACAGATGGGCAATGACGGCAGTGGCCCCTTCTGCCACGGTTCCTGAGCAAGCCGGACGCTGGGGCTGGCACCTCTGAAACCGGACACTCCCCGTCGCCCTCACGAGAGCTCTCTTTCTCTGCCCGCCCCCCAAGCTAGCTAAACTGGTGGCCCTCACCACCTTCTGGGGTGCTGAATCCACCCGCCCCCCGTTGCCTGTTCTGATTCCCCTAATGCTCCACTTCAGAGCGTGACCTCAAGTCCTCGTAACAGAGGAGAAATTCCCTCCACACCGTGCATCATGTTGTTAATTCGTTTTATATTTTTAGTGTATTATATTTTAATGGATGTTTTGTGAGCCGCCCCGAGGCTTCGGCGAATGGGGCGGCATAGACATTTTCTGAATAAATAAATACATAATAAATAGACCTCTCCCTTCTTAGAAAAAAAAAATTAAAAGCTCCAGCAGCTGTAACTTTCCCGCGCAATGGCGTTCCTCCAGGCCTGAGATCACTGTGGTCGCTCTTTTCTGCACCTTTTCAGCCCCGCAGTGCCGCTTGCGCAATGTGACAACCCCAGGGAGCATCCCAGACTGGCAAAAAGCGCTAGGCTATTGGTATCCCAACCCTTCGGTTCCTTGTGCAATGAAGTGATCCTGTGCATCGAGTTAGTTGTCACAACCCAAAATTCCCTCCCATGGCCAGTCTCTGCTACCTTAGCGCCCTTCAGTGTAATTTGAGCTGCTTTGTTTTGTCAGCTTTATTAGTAATTACCAAGATAGCAAATATCAATTCACTGTTCTTTCTCTTTCAGCGTTTGTAATTGCTTATGCTTCTACAGTCAAATGAGTAAAATTTTACCCATTTTCTTCTTATTCTTTCTTTGTAAGAATCCAATCAGTAATGGACCTTTTCTGTTCTTGTACAAATACATAATTTTTGGGAGAACAGGATAAAACATGTGTTCTGGGGACAAGCCAGGCTGAGTATGGATTTCCATTTTTCCTTTCTCCCACTGTTTGGGGTGATTTTGTTTTTTACGTAATAAATAAATAAATAATGGACTCGGGTGGCATTTAAGCGTGGAAGAAGAGTGAGATGCTTAACCTTTTACCCTCCTGCCGTTTGCCTTTAAACAGCCGCTTTCCAGCAACTTGTCTTCCTTCAGCGAAAAAAGTGGTGGTAGAAAAACAGTGTAGGTTTTCGAGGCGGTTGCCTTGGTGTGGCTTTGGGGCTTCAGCACGTTCACATCAGGAACGGAAAGTGCCGTGAAGCTGCTCCCCCATCTGCCCCCACTCTTTGCATCACCAAAACAGTGGAAAAAGGAATCACATGACTGAGTTTCACGGGCAGGTTAGGTCTCAAGACGACGGATTCTATTTGGCGGGGTGAAACTTTCTGAAGCTGGCGTTTAATGTTCCAATGTTGCCATTGAACTCTCTTTCTGATTTTAAGTCTTTCAACATGGCATATTTCCCAGCAAAGCCATACTCGTATCCCGCTTTGCAGGTCATAATTGCTCCCCAAAGCATCTTATGTCGTTAAAAATGATAAACCCTTTCATCAGGCTCACAAACGGAAAAGTCAAGACATAAAAGGGAAGAGAGTAGAACGAAGAAGAGGGAGGAAGTTGTTCAAGGCCAGAGCAAGGTGCTGTGGGAGGAAACCGCTTCCCTCGCTGCTATAGCAAATGAGGCCGTTGCTCCCCAGGCCAGTGGATGGAGCCCTGCAGGTTTTCCTCCTCCTTCCTCCGGGAGTTCCATGGTGGACCCCTGTAGGAACTGGGTGCACTTTCTGGCAAGGAGCAGGGAGGCGAAGTCCCTGCTGAGGTTGGTTCCCCTCTCAGATCGATTTATTCCAACAGGTAAGGAAGCCCCCCCCCCCCCCCCGGTCCCAGTGGTCCTGGGTTCCCCAGCTGATTGCAGAAGCCAGAGCATGGATCCCTTTGGTTCTCTGGTTCCGTGCAGCTTTTAGATTGCAGGGTACTAAGATTGCAGGCTTTATTAAGATCGGTTAAAAATAATAATAAAACCCCGTGTGACAGCTTTGGGTTGCTTTTGCACAGCTGGATGAGTACTTAATCCAGACAGGAAGTACAACCATCGAAGGATTCGTGCTGCATGTTCTCTAAATTAGAGTGCGTTAGTGAATTACGCATTCTGGTGCCATCTAGTGAAAGACTTTCTGTGCTACAACCTGATAGATCTTTTCTGTAATAACCGCAAGCTGTGTTAACTGACTCTCCAAAGTATTTAATGTTTTTGTGTATGGATGGCTGCTATTCACTGTTTTCCACTACATGTGAAGTACTTTGAACATTTGGAGGTACCATGCAAATCTTGCTGTTGTTCTCCTGTACTTTTGCAAGTTCTGGTGGTAACTGGCAGATAAACAGGCTGGTACGTCACTCTGTCCCAGACCTAAAGCTCTGCCTGGAAGAGTGTTTTTCTACCCAGCATCTCATTTTGGATTCAGCACCACGCCGTACAGGATTTTAGGACAATCATCCTCCGGGCCAGAACTTTCCCATCTTCGGTCCCAAGGTTGGCGTTCACAGTCTGCTTTGAATTTCTGTTTTTGTCATATGGCCCCGAGAAGCAGCGCTGGCCTGCCAGGATAGACAGTTCTGTAGAAGCAAGAACTGCTCCGGGACGCTGCATCGTGGCCACCTATGTGGAGGTTTCTGCCAAATGGCTTCTGCCCTCAGTGCCTTCCCAACCATCCGCAAAACGTTGGCTTGCAGCCTGTCCCAGTGTGTGACGAAACACATTAACTGGGAAAAAAATCCAACTTCTTGAAGCAGATTCAAGCTCCGACTCAGGAATGTAAACTGAATGCATTTCAGGCAATGTTTGCTGTTCGCATTTTTATGTTTTTTTGGTGCGAGGCACACCACTAGAGGGCGCGACTCAAATCACGAGGCCAGGCAAACGGCATCTTTCCAGTCACAGAATGTGCCCATTCACACAAAGCAGGAGACACTTCAGTGCCCCTCTGTTTATTGACCCATCGTTACAATTAAGGAGTCTTTCCTGATACCCACATGGAAATGAACTTTGTTTTTCTGCAGCAGTATTTTGCTTTCACAAGGAAGTGTTGACGTCGGCACAGGGTTTTATTTTTTCTCCCTGCTTCCGCTGCATGTGCAGGAAGAGTAAATAGTACCCAAAGGGGGAAGGTCGGCTACACTATCATCTTTGCTAAAAGTCAGTTTCTGATTCCTTGTAATCAGGTATGAGGAAATGTGAAATGGGCTTAGATAGCAGGCTTAACACCCCTCATTGGCACGCTTTCCCCAAAAGGGAAGGCTTGTAGTGCTTCTGCAATATGCTTAGGCTGGGCAGGCAGTGAGTCTGCAGCTGGACCAAACGTTCAGATCTGGGAGTCTGGCTTTGACCATCTCACGAGAAACCGAGGAAAGCAAGGAGACACAGAGCAAAGTTGGAGACGGTCAATAAAATCCATATCCATTAAAATATAAGAATAGCCACCTTGGTGTCTGGTAGTTTTCTTCACCATCAATATGTACCATGTATGAAAACATCGCTGTTTGCAAAAAGAAACATTCCTTCTAAGTTTGTTTGCTTGCTCGCTCGCTCACTTAGTTTCTATTCCTCCCAATAGCCAAAGCTCTCTGAGCGCTTTGCAACAACAGATGAAAAACACAATATAAAATCCACCCTATTCAAGCATGGTTTAAAAAGTTCTTAGTCGCCTAAGAGAAGACAAGGTCTGCCTTAAATGCAGCCTTTTGAACGTGAGCCTCTCAAATGCTGGTTTTCTTTTTCCTTTCTTTGTACAGTTCGTATTTCTCACCCTTTCCTAGCCAAACTAACGCCTTCACTTCTGGTCTTCTCTTCTCTCCTTCAGCGGTGATTCCTCTGACTGACTCTGAACACAAGTTACTGCCTTTGCATTTTGCAGTTGATCCAGGGAAGGACTGGGAGTGGGGGAAGGATGACAGTGATAACTCCAAGCTGGCCAAGTAAGACCTCTTTTTAATAACGAAATTAACTTGCCTTGAGGACACCCGTGTCCCCACGATGCTTGGTAGCCCTTGCTCAGTCCGTGCTTTTGCAGCCGTTCGAGGACGCGCCGTCCCATCGCATCTGTGCGCCATGCACCACTTTTGCATAGCTAGTGGGTCGGCTGTGAAATGTTGCGTCTGGTGAAATTCTGGTGGGTTGCTTTCCCTTGCGCAGAAGATGCTTTGACTGACAAGAACAGGGTGAACTGTACTCTGTATGTAGCTGGTTTCTCGCCGTACATCCAGGAGGGGAAAGGAGTGCAACGTTTTCCTTGCATTTTTGCTGTCAAGAGCACGGGTGTTTATAGCTGATACAATGATGTACTTTCTCTTGATTATGTGTGAGTGATCTACAGCTGTACCTTTTGAGTAATCACATGGTGTCATCTTTCCTTCTTTTCTCCTTTCTCAGTTTGATTCTCTCTCTGGAGGCAAAGCTTAACCTTCTACACAGTTACATGAATGTAACCTGGATACGCATACCATCGGAAACACGGGTAACCCTTTTACTCTGTATAAGCAGCTTGAGCAAAATAACTCCCAGCTTGTGCTCAGGGTGGAGCTCATGAAAACAGGCCATCTTTGGATAGGTTAGCTTTAGCCATTTTGGCTAAAGGGGTGGGATAGGAGTCTAATAAATAGACAGGTTCCCAGCACAAGAGAATGGCTTGCATCCTTGCTCTGTTCCTTCTGCGTTGCTTTTGTGGCGGTGCTTATGGAAAGCTCCCGCGGAAACCTCTGGACAGGCCAGGCGTCCAAATTCTGCTACGGCTAAACGGGCGACATAGGATTGACCTATTCGTCACATAACACGCATGAAGGCCACAGAAGAGAAACCAGTGTGAAATTCGCAGTCCTCGTCTATCGCTGTGTGATGTTGAACGCTCCAGCTGCCTCCCACTCTGTTCCTCTCGTTCTTCATGCCCCATCTGTAGATCACCCACCTTGTTTGCCTAGCACGGAATGGCTCCTTTATCCAGCGATGCCGCGTCCTTGCTTGCAAAGCATCCCTCGCTGTGGCTGAGCAAACTGGATTCCCCGCTCGTGTGTACTTTGCATTTTGTTAATGGCAGGGAACCGTGTTGATTAAGCTGGAACATCTTGGTTAACCAAAATAGGTAGTGCAGCATATGGAAACGTTTAATGTCACAACAGCAGCTGTCTTTCCCGCCCGCTCTTGGCTGGGAATTCAGTCCTTCATCTCGCTGCACGAGTTCAGCTGAGGCAAACAGGGTTCAGCTTAGTGCAAATGTGCAGCTGGGCAAACCCACCTGGTCTTGGTTAGGGAGAAGCGAGCAGCAGGGACCTCTCCCTCCGGCATTTGGGGTCTCCATGCGCAGGCACGAATATCGGAATGTTCTACACCCAGATGGGCCCAATTTGCACCAGTGGGTATTTTTAGCGTACAAAAAGAAGCCAGGCTTTGGGGACACCAAAACTACTCTCTAAGCGGCCCTCACAGCTTTTTCCTTTATACCATTTTGTTTACGTTTGCCAACCACTCTCAGAAAATGTGTTGGCACATATAGAAAGCAAAAGGTGGCATGTTCCAGACAATCAGGAGTCAAGTATTCGTTGTGATGAGATTGTAGTGCCAACCAGCATGTCTTCAAGGTGCTTGAGGCATCTTGTTCATGCCCAGTGTCTGTTGGCTTGATGTGGAACGAGGGCAGCACTTCCTGCTCTTGAGCAAATGGGTGGACTTTTTTTTACCACATTGCGGAGGCCTCCCTCTCTCTCTCAACGCCTATCTATCTGTCTGTCTAGAGAGAGAGAGAACAACCCTTCCTTCACCTCATCCAGAACCATTTCCACAGGGTTTTCAAATGATGCTGGAGCTGGGGGTCAGACTAGATGGCCCGGGAGGCCCCTTCTGACTCACTCTGTTTCTATGTTTCTATGCATGGCTATTAATCAGAGCAAGTGTCTTCATACTGCTTTTGCTCAGATGTCTCGTGCTGAGTGCAAACTTCCGTTGAGCTTTCCCTTCCCATGTATGGAAGGGTCATTTGGGGAAAAAAGCGCCCCCACAAACATTAATAATTTTAATGATCCCCTTGCATGACATCAGCTGATTTGTGCAGTCAGTGGGTGAGCAGAACTGTTTGAAGAACAACAGATGTTTCCATCTAGAACGATATCTGAGTGTCCTATCGAGGAGGTTTGAGATGCATTCAATAAAACACTTTCACGGTTAGAGGAGGAATTGCTTGCAGGACGTTCCGTGTTTTCTGATATACACAGAAGTACAATGATTCTGTTGCATGATGTGGAAGAGCTGGAATATGGCTACATGTTTTTTCACAGTGATTCCTGTGGCCTTCAGATAGGAAAATATATGCAAAACATCTGTGCCCTTTTTGGATTTGTTCACCAGCACTTCTGATGTGATCTGGGCATCCACAATCTTAATCAGCAGCACCTCAGGAGAATAACTTCCCAAACGTTCAGTTAGGAAAGTCCTTCTGAAGATCAGACCACCTGTAAATACCACTTTTATCTTTGGACTGGCCTTGTATTAACCTTATACAAAGAACCCTAATTTTAAAGGCTTCCGTTTTTTCGAATTCGTAACTTCCTGAAAAATGCACGTATTTTTTTGGATATGCAGAGGTGTCTTGCTAAGACAATTCACTGCGTGCGAATGCTCGTCGTTTCTAATTGTCAACTTGCTTCCCCATTAGGCTCCTCTAGCACAGCCAGAATCTCCTACGGCATCCGCAGGAGAAGATGTCCAATCTCTAGCTGATTCCATGGACTCCGATAGAGATTCCATCTGCAGTAATTCCAATGGCAATAATGGCAAAAATGGGAAAGAGAAAGAAAAGCAAAGGAAGGAGAAAGAAAAAAACCGGGCCGATTCAGTTGCTAACAAACTAGGAAGTCTCAGTAAGACGCTCGGCATCAAGCTGAAGAAGAACGTGGGTGGGCTCGGAGGGCTAGTTCATGGGAAAATGAGCAGAGCAAATTCCGGAAATGGGAAGAATGGGGAGATCCTCGAGAAAGGTAAGGAGAAGAAGTCGAAGTTGCGTAAAGGAAGCAAAGAGGAGTCTGCCCCCTCCACAAGCACTTCTCCCTCTGAGAAGACCACCCCCTCCCCCACCGAGAAGGCCAGTGTCTCACCTGTCGAAAAGACGAACTCCAAATCCCCTTCGGACAAGCAGCCCGACCCGTGGAAGTACAGCACGGACGTCAAGCTGAGCCTCAACATCTTGAGGGCTGCCATGCAAGGGGAGCGCAAGTTCATTTTTGCTGGCCTCCTCCTGACCAGCCATAGACACCAGTTCCACGAGGAGATGATCGGCTACTACCTGACCAGTGCCCAGGAGCGCTTCAGCGCTGAGCAGGAGCAGAAGAGGAAAGAGGCCGAGAAGAAGGCTGCAGTCCATGGGCCGCTGTGCAGGAAGCCGGAGCAAGAGGCGTGTTCGAGGGAGAAGCTGGACTCCTCTCCTCAAGGGCGGGCATCCCCAGTCTTGCCCCAAAGCCATACGACTCAGCTGGTTTTAAAGTTTAAAGACCGCACGAGCCCCATCCCAGGAGGCTTTTCTTCGCCCAGCAATGGCGGAAAGAAAAGTGGACCCATCCCAGTATCTGCCCACTACAGCCATACTCCTCCCATCCAAAGGCAGAGCGTCATCCACTGGCATGAAGTCAACTCCAAGCCGTCCAGCTTCCAAGACGATTCCTGCAAGCCCGTCGTCGGCACCCTGAAAACATGTGCCACATACCCCCAGCAGAACCGGTCCTTGTCTTCACAAAGCTACAGTCCAGTCCGGATAGCAGGCATCCGTACTGTCAACACGGTGGAGTCCCTGACCTACGCCATGCCTACGGACCACAAGTCACAGACGTACACCAATGGGTTTAACACCAGTGACATTAGAGACTGCTTAGAGTACGCGGATGAGGACGCACCTCAGACCTGGTTGAACAATGACAAAAATCGGGGCCGGAGCACCGTTTGCCCGATATATACTCTGCAGCAGAACCGGTGCAAGAAGGAGAACTGTTCCTTCTACGGTCGCCCTGAGACTGAAAACTACTGCTCCTACTGCTATAAGGAGGAGCTAAAACGCAGGGAACGAGAAAGTAAAGGCCACCGGCAGTGAAGACGGTGGATGGCTTCCCACGAATATTTATTTTCTCCATTTTCTTACGTAGGAAGTATGTGGCAAAGAATTACAGGGAGAAGGAGAAGGAGCTCCTATTGGGGGATCTACAAGGAGAAAAGTCTAGTTTATTTTTTTTTCTGGGGCGATACAAAAAGGATTAATTTATCATAAAGAGTTTATTATTTTCCATTTTGTCAGAGTCTTTTTTACATACTCTGGTAAGCTGAAAGGTTGTTTACTCTTTTGTCAGTGCTGTGTTATGTGCGGTCAAAATTTTACTAATGGTGCCTGAATTTACACTGACATCACTCAGGTAGTAGAAAGATAGGGAAAAAGTCATAATAAGTGAAGATTTGGTGTTGTAATAAGATTGTGTCTGCCTCATTCTATAGAGCCATTAAAGAAATTTAACTTTACGTAGCTCATCCCCTCCAGAAACACAAGCGTTTTTAAAGATGGGGAGGAATAGTTGTTTTCCATCTTGTGCAAACTAACATGCTAACACCTTGCTATCAACTTTTCTATTATTTTAATACGACTGTTTTTCCGCAGATACATGAATGAAGGTCTGGATTCATGAGCACAACTTTTCTTACGGAACACAAACCCATGGATGGGTTCCGTGATTTAAGCAAGCGCTACTTTGGCACTGTGTGTTACCAAGAAGGAAAGATCCATGCACAAAATGGCATGCTCCTGGGCAAAAGGTGCCCGGGGGGTGGGGAGTTAATGGCACTCCAGCCCTCCTGGGTAAAAAAAAAAAGCCCTTTCCAGTTTCACAAGCGGGCCGTCCTTGCACAACCCTGGCATTGCGTTGGAGTCCTGTCCTTCAAGTGCAAATCCCTCAGTACTGAATGCACAGCCAGTGTCCTGTACCTCGTCCACCAAATCCTTGGCGTGGTAGTTTTGGTCCCTTGAGCAAAGCTTCTTATTAAAGCAACGTCACTTAGCACTGATTCCTAGGATACCTTGGAATGAGGGCGTATGTACAGACTTCGAATTTTTGTTAGTCCTGCAGCCCAATACAGAGCTGTTGCCACTCCATAAGAACAGCTGCTGTTCATTTGTGTATTTGTTTTAAATATCAGCATACTTAAGAAGCTTCCCTTTAGATTTCTTTAATATATGCACGGCTTACTGTAACATGTCTGCTCATAAATTTGGCCCTGTGAAACAAAGGTTAGAAAATACAGAGGACGCATTCTGAGTTCCATTAAATAGTAGCGCAAAACAGCTAGATAGTCTGGATAATATTTAGAGGTTATTGAACTATTTTGGCATAGATCTAATACTGTATAAATGTAGCACTCAAGTTTGTTTGTTCGTTTACTTACTTAAGAAAATGCCATCTTTTTTCCAAGACTGCGTACAACATATAGTAGCAACAATTTTGAAACTATAGCATTCTTAACAACAACACGACAGCAATGAGGAATAAAACCAAACCAATTGGAGATCACATTCATTCAATTTTAGTCTCTTTCAGCCAGGCAGATTCTTAAAACAGGGCCGATAGTTTTTATTTAAGTGCAGACCAAACAACTACTGCCGTCATCTTTGGTTCCAACTGTGCTTTCAGGGATATTGCAAAGCCCAGAAGGATCCCCAAGATTCAGGGGGCATGTGATTCCACACAGAACCAGTTGAACCTCCTATTGGGAGCAAATAAAATTCTCCTACAAAAAGCATCTTCATCTTCCGGAACCTGCAAAGGCCCTCTTCTCCCCTGTCCATTAACTTAATCCATACTGCTTCAGTTACTGTCACTTTTGCATTCATCCCGACCTTTCTTCCTCTTGGAAGAAACCCAGTTGGAACAAATAGGAACCTGCTTTGCCCCCTTTCTTCTCCCTCCCTCTCCGAGGCCATTATGGACGCCCAATAGCATGGTCCACCATTGGGGCCCTACTTTTTAATTCCTATGTTCAGAGGTTCACTCATACATTTTGTGGATGGTTCTGCACCCTTGAACTGAGATGGATGATTCCTCTTGTCCCCTGAGCATTCACCCACAAGTCGAAATTGCCTCACGGTGGAGAAGTGCAGTTGGAACTCCTCAGTGATACACACCCAAGGACAAAACGAGTTGAGAGGTGCCCCTCAACATCTCTCCGAGAAGACTTTTAAAAAGCCTTTTCAGTTGAGTTGAGTCCTCACCAACATGACTTGACTAGCGTTCTTCATGAATCCAGGCCTGATGTTTATGCATCTTTGGGAAATTTACAGAATGTATCGTATTCCTGAATGAACAGTGCTTTCCCCCAGCTGAAGCTCTGTTACCGCACTCACAGCACCAGGTGTGACAAGGGTGTACACAGAGGTACTGGTTGCTCATCTGTCATGGGAAGTGTGACCACCACCAACGGGCTTTGCTGTCCTCTTGACCAGCTGTGCCATCTCTGTGCTTTCACGCTGGAATCTCGGCACAATGCTGATTCGGTGAGTGGTGCCCAGGATTAGTACGCCTGTAACCTTTGCTGTGAGTCGCTTGTCAAACAATCCTTCAGCATCTGGATGTTCTTGGCTAATTGCGGTAATTGCTCGTAGGTTTCTTTGGCCAAAGAAATATGTGAAATGAGATGGAATTACTTGTGGTTATATTGTTACAGAGAGAGAGAACAATCAGGCATAATTTGGAAAAGGGTCTGGAAAGCAAATTTTGGTACAAATGGATTAGAATAAGGATAGCCTTTGATGTCCCCATGAATGCTTCTCTAGGTGAATTTAGGAATAAAACAAGTGCTATTAATACTTTCTGCTTTCCCCTTTGACTCAACTAGGATGCATCTGAATGAAAAGCTTTTTGTAAAATGGTTTTGTGAGGTAGAATGCTATTTAAAAAAATAATAATATAGAATACAGCTGTCCTCATTGGGAGAGTAATTTTTGCAAATCTAGTATATTGTTTTGAAATAATAAACCATAACTGGGCAGAAATAGATTCAGCCCAGATAAGAGTATCAAATGCACTGATTATCTTTTGAAATCACATCAGTGCTACCCAGTAGTAGTTGTGAAGTAGCAATTCTATAATTTGATCTTTGGTTCCATAGCTAAGCAGTGAAATGTTTCAGGGAGTGTTGTTATAGTCTCTGTGAACAAAGAAACTTTATTATTCGTGGAATAAGAAAGAATGCAAGACTGCAGCAATTCTCAGAAAAATGGCATGGACAGATTCTCTGAGTTTCATCAACTACACCTCAGAGTAAGACCACAGCCAGATCCAGACATGGAGTGGGTCATTTCCACTTCAGGGTTCTAGATGTCAGTCACTGGAGTAAGAGTAAAGACTGGTGTTGAAGAGTCCAAAGATAACCTTTTTTGATTTAAGGGCAGGAAAGAGCAGACGATCAAGCTTCTAGGCTGTGCATCTCCTGATTTCTTTTTGTGTCTGAGCAGGATTTTGAGTACCTGGTAGCTTTTGAGTTCTGATCCAAGCCTATAAACAGACTAAAAGTTTTTGTGGGGCACCAAAAACCTCTGGCTTATCAGCCTTTTGAAGACAGACGTGTAAGCTGACTTTAGTTCATGACAAAAGGGGCAGAGAACATTTAGTGGGGTTGGTTACTGGCTCGGCTTGATCCTAGACTGAAACTCTAGGGTTCTTTTTGAAGCTTCTTGCCTTCCTGACAACAGATGCAGTTGCTCAGATACAACTCATCCGGGGGTGAGTTTATAAATTTAAATTCTCTGTCCCATTATCACTGATCATTATTTCTTGCCATCAGAAGATGGAAGCCAGTTTCATATAATTATGGTGAAGGAACCATGCAAACTACCAAGGTAATTGGCAGTTATGAGTGATCTTGCCCCCAGTAATCCGTTCCTTTCTCTCTTTTCTGAAGCATAAATAGCCCCTTGCTTAAGGCCTGAATGAAAACCAGTGAAAAGAGTGATATAGGTGGCAACTTCCTTCTTGCCAAAAAATTAGCGTCTATGGGATTCAATGCTCCAAAGCTAAAACATGGTTTGATTATGTTTATTCTCTCTCTCTCTCTCTCTCTGCGTGTGTGTACATACACACATGACGGCCATCTCATCCAGCTCTGTTTGTGCCAATGATCTCTGGGTTGGTCACCTGATGGGGAACAGGTGGTTATTACAGACAATTCAGTATATATAAAGGGCTAAGAGGGTTGTGGGAGGTTAAATCCAGGTCACGAAGGTAGGGCTGTGCAAAAATGATAATGATAATAGTAATAATAATATCCGTTGTAGAGGAGGTAATTCAGGGGTTCCATCAAAGCGTGTTTTGCCAAGAGGAGGCTGAGGTCACTGTGGTGTCCTTCACGGGACCCGCTAAAACCAAGAGGAGCAGCGTGAGAACCTCGGTGTGTTGGCACAACTTGGTTTTGTTTCCGTGGAACTTGTGCAAGAGACTCTCTGACGGATTGCCCCTGTTGTTTGGTGCAGTGCATCAGAAACCCGAAACATGGAACAGTGGTTGAATGTAATAAGTGTTGCTAACTTTTCTGGGGTACAGTGTGCTGTTTTTACAAATGAACAATGCTTAATTGTTAAAATAATAAATTATACAGAGATGTTGCTATTATACACTAACAGACATTGGGAAGTGTGGGGGGGTGTATGCGGGGGTGGGCAGGACGTGTGCTTAAATTGTTCAAGCCACTAATCCAAAACTTGTTCGAAGACAAGGAAATATGCAAAGGTTGACTTGTGGAACAAAGGCTCTTAGCTAAGGGTTGTTAAGAAAATGGTACATAGGCATTCTCACACTTTGTAATAATACATTTAAAAGAAGTATAAAAAGGGCTAATGAATGAATAAAACATGGTACGTGTTTACAGATGTGTTGTGTGTTGTAGGTGGCTTAAGCAGGTTTGCAGAAGGTTGTGCAGTTGGTCACTGCAAGCAAACATTTGGACTCGCCTCGAGTCTAACAAATTACGCTCTAATGCCAGTGTGTATTCTCACTTTCCCAAAATCAGAAGATCATGCAGATTCCTTACCTTAATCAGTAGCAGAGCCCCTTCTCTGCTTAAAAGGAAGGGTTGGCATAAGGAGTGTGGGTCATTTGTGTCTTATTTTTTTGTAAGTCCCTGGGCGTTGCTTCTGCACTCTTGGCCTGAACTCATCCTCCCTTGGAAACAGAAGCATGTTTTCCATTCTGCCTTGTAAGGCATTTGGTGGGTGGGCCCATATCTTCATAAACACTGAGGGCAGGAAAATTGGTCCAGAGCCACGTAGGACAAGGAAGAAGGGGTCCAGTCACACCCACCACCCACCTGTCCTACACGTGTGTTTAATTTTTGGTGTGCCCCGATTTACAAAGCATCAGCCACACCTGCTGAAAAGCAAGTGTGGATAGATGTTTA